GCATTTTCCTGAAGTTGGTAGACTGCTAGCGTTACCTTCTCTTCCTCAGTACACCCCAGCACCTCAAAAGCTTTCTCTAGCTCTTCTACCCATCTTGGTGCAGCCTCGGGGTCACCTCTCCCATCAAACCTTGGGGGTTTCAACCTCAGAAACTGCTCGACCAGCTTGGACATTGGCCTGATTGCATTTACTCGCACTGGACCAGGATTTCCACCAATCACATTATTCCCCTGACCTCCATTATCCCCAATAATCTCACTAGCAGCTGCAGCGGCGACAGTAGCACTTCTTTCCCCCGTCTGTCTACCTGATAATATTCCCGCATCCTCTAGCGCCCTCCACATTTCATCTACCCTGGGGTCCCCCATTAGTTCAGCTAGCGGGACTACGCGACCTCAACCTCGACCTCGACCTCGACCTCGACCTCTACCTCGACCTCGGCCACTCATCTTATTGATTCTCACAAACGCTCACCTGCTAAGTTCCACGCAAGAATTAAAAACCTAGGCCAACTATACCAGTCTAAGCTCTGGGCAGTGAATCACAACAATAATTCACTAAGCAGACAGCCAATCACATACAGCACTCAATCTCAGTCAACCGAGTTCGTGCACTTACCTCAAGTCCCGACGCACCTGCACCTCACACATTATTGCATAAAAATCACTTAGCAAATCACAATCACACAGTCTGGAGTACGCATTGCACACAAATTTCCCTAACTGGCTACCCCGAAGTCATCGCTCCTTATCACTCCAGATTTCGACCACTTGGATCGAGCTGACCTTGCTCTGATACCAACTCAACGGGGATGTCACGCCCCGAACCCCAACGGGCACGCGACACCCCTTCCATGGTCGTATTAAACGCGACGTCCCAGGACGCGTCGCCGACCCAAACGAACTACGCAAGCGGAAGCGAAATAAAACAACCCAGACAGTAAAATATGACGAAGGGATAGCACAAAACAATAATTCCAAATACACAACATTAAAACGGAGTAGTGGTTGGATATCCTACTTCGCTATACAAAAGAGGGGCACACAAAAATATGGGGCAACTTGACCCGTCCTTGATCTCCGAGATACCCTTGCAGTGTCTCCAGTCACTCATGGTCGCGGATCTGAAATGGTTATATAATAACCGTGAGAACGAGTCTCAATAAGCAACCCCCTATACCCCACGTAGGCCAATGCGTACCCCGACAAGTCGTACATGCAATCTACCCCATAACATATAAAATCCACGTCATTGTACTTACCTCGCCATCAAACGCATGCTCTGCACGTTAGTTAAACGTGGTAATGCAATATTAATAGTCTAATAACATATCACAATCACTCAAGCACCAACCACACTAGCACTCAATCAATCCAACCAATTCAATCACACATTCAATCGCCCACCCAATCAATTCAATCACACTCAACTCGCATACGTGGCCGAACAACTTTCCACGACCTCCCAGGTCCTTTCACACTGCCCGCGCCACTGCGCCTCAGGCCCAATCTCACGGCCCGCGCCATCTGCGCCTCGGGCTCGGCCCTTAGATCAAGCCGGGCTCGGTCCCGCGTAACCACGCCTCGGGACATTTTTCCCCTTCCATTGACCGCGTAACCTACGCCTCGAGTCCAGTCATGCCTTTCTCGCCACACCCGCGTAACCACGCTTCAGGTTGGCAGCCCTCCGATCAATCCGGGCTTTTCTCATGCACATGCACCATAACACAATTCGCAATTTTCACAAATCATACCAATCGAACTCAAGGCATGCTCATCACAATATTCCACCAACCCGACCTTCAAGTCGGTCACATTCAACTATCAATTCCACTCACAAATGCCACGATAAGCCAATCATTGACCCACCAACAATAGCCACAAATATGTACCCTCAATCATCCCAATTTCAAAACACAAGCTCACGATTCCGACATTCAAGTCAACACATTCAATTAATCCAATTCACCCACAAGCGCCACGACAATTCAGTCATGCTATTTATCTCAGTCAATCACTAAATTAATCACACAATTACCGCCACAATAATTCACAAATTGAGCACAATCAGTCAAATCAGCCCACGCCTAATTTAATTCCTAACCCGGTACCAAACACATCCTAAACAAGTCTAAAAATACCCATAGTCCTAAATAAGGAATAGGAGGTCACTTACTTGATTTTGGCCCGGAGAAAATCGGCTCGGGCCTAAAATGGCCCGGGTGAACAGTGCCGAACTAGGCGCGGGCACGGGCCAACGGGCACGGTGGCCGGCCAACACGGGCACGGTGGCCGATCGGCGTGCCTGGCGCGCGGGCGCGGTGGCCGAACGGCGTGCCCGGGGCGCACGGTCGAGCGGGATGGGCGACGTTCCCGGGCGACGGGCCGGCTGAACGGGCAACGCGCCGGGTGCACGAGCGAGTGACCGAACGGGACGGGCCAAGGGCCGAGCAGCGGGCGAGCGGCTGGTCGCGTGGGCAACGGGCCGGCCACGGCCTAGGCAAGCTCGGGCACGGGCCGGGCAAGCGGCTGAGGCGCTGGGCTGCTGGTTGGCCGGGGCTGGAGCAGCCGAAGCGATGGCGGCGGCGGCGACGGGGCGAGCGGCGATGACGGCGGCGGCGACGAGCGGCGGGAGGTGGAGGAGGAAAGGTGAGCGGGGAGGTGGTGACGGCTGGGGAGAGAGAGAAGGAGAGAGAGATCGGGGCCGAGGAAGAGGGGCAAACCGGCGGCGACGGGCGGCACGGCGCGGCGGACCCAGGCGGGCGGCGGTGCTAAGCGAGCGGCCGGACGAATCGGCCGGCGGGCCGGGACTCCGCCGGACGCGGCGGCTAGACAGTCGGAGCCGAAATGTGAGGAGGGGCCGGGGAAGAGAGAAACGAGGGGAGAGGGGCCGAGTCGAAAGCGGGCGGCGGAGGCGGCACGGCGGCGTCACGGGTGGCGGGCGACGGAGGACAGGCCGAGGCGGGCGGGCTGGCAGCCGGCCAGCCAGACATGCAGCGGACTCGGACGGGCTCACTGCTGCTTCAGCAGCGTCTGTGTGAAGACAGCCGGCAACGTTTGGCGGACGGGGGCCGACGAGCGGCGGTCGCGGGCGGCGGCGGCGTCACGGCTCGGTCGGGCAGACGGTGGCGCGAAGACGGACGGCGAAGGGCGGTCGGCGGCGGCTTGGTTGGACGAGCAAAGGCAGAAGCAGAACCAGTCGGGGTCGACGAAGGAAGAAGGAAGAAGGAAGAAGAAGGAGAGAGAAGGAAGAAGAAGAGAAAGAAGGAGAGAGAGAGAGATGCGTGGATGAGTCTGACAAGGGGGGGGCCAAACGTGCGCAAGGGGAAAAGGTGACCGGGGAGAGAGAGAGAGAGAGAGAGAGAGGGAGAGAGAGAGAGAACGTGCGCGGTCAGAAGGGGGAGCGTGCGCGCGGAGGAGAGAGGAGAGAGAAAAACAATAAAAAAAATTAACTTCAATCAAATATTAAATGCGATCCGATGACCCAAATTCAAAACCAAAAGCGATCTACCGGTCCAAAATAAGCCTCGCATATAAAAAGGGACAAAGGCCGAATTAATTAAATCAAACTATAGCGAGGGAGGTCTACTAGTCCAAATTCGCACCTGGTCAAAAACTCCCCTTTTTCCATTATTCCTGACAATCTCAACGCTGCGCTACGATAATATTGACACCGTCCAATTTATTTCGTCCTGAAACTCCCGAAAATCGACTGCCAAGTTCGGGGTCTAAATAACGGCCGAATTCGATCGAGCGCGATTCTAGCGAAATCTCAATTTTAAAATAATAACCGAGAGTGATCAGTTCCCGGGCGAGATTTTACTATAAGCACACTGACGAATTACACGTTTTATAAATCCCAACTATGGGCCGAAATTCGGAATGTCACAGTCAAGTTGGAGGAAAAGAGATCACTTAAGTGTCAATTTGGCCGAAAATCCGACGTGGCATATTTTATTAATTTTTGACGCCGACGTGGCTCGCCGGAGGATGAGTCAGCGTGTACAGTCAGCATTTTTTATTTTAAATAATTTTTTTCCTTTTTTTTCTCTTCTTTCTTTTCTTTTTTTTCTTTTCTCCCCTCGCCGGGCAGTTGCCGGTGGTCGGCCCGGCCATCGGCGAAGCCCGGGAAGGGCTGGGTGAGGGCGGCCTTGCCCATGGCCGGCGAGGGGCGGCCTCGCCAGATCTAGGTGAGGCGACCCTCGCCGGCAACAAGCGAGGCCGCCCCTCGCCGGCCATGGGCGGCCTCGCTGGCGACTGGCGAGGCCGCCCCTCGTTGGCCATGGGCGAGAGGCGGCCGGGCCGGCCACCGACACTGACACCGACATATAAACCATGTACGAACATATAACCCATGTAACACCGACATTGACACGCGATATGTGACACGACACGAGACACGTCATTTCTTAAAAAATAGAGAATTTCGACACGTTGAAACACATTGTATATTAAATATATATTTTTATATATACATGAAAAATTATTATTTTTAAATTTGATTTAAATCCACAAATAAATAATAATAATAAACCGAGAATTTACTTCTATGAACTAGAAAATTGCATGGATATGAAGAAAACATAAGATTTTTTTTTGGTAAAGTATTTTTTTTTTGGTAAAGGAGAAAACATAAGATTTGTTTTATGAATAATTCAACTATTCATAAAATAAAATAAAAAGTAAAAGTAAGGTTCTTATTTACTTTGATTTGGATGATTTGTATCTAATTGGATTCAAGATATGCATTCAACTTGGTAGGATACTCTTTGACCTAACCGCAATATGAGAAAATTTTCTAGCGTCCATGATATCCTAGAAACCTGTTATTTTTTCCATATATTACAATTGAACTCTTGGGGGTTGCGGTAAATCTCTGACTGGACACGTGGGCCCACCATGGCCCATCTTAAACCCTAAACGTCCCCTCCCAAAACCACACCTCCTGCTCCTGCTCTCGCAGCTCCCGCTCCTCTCGCTCTCGCCATGGATTGCGGTCAGATGGCAGCGCATTTTAGCGGCGAATTTCACGGTGTCATGGATCATCATCGTCAAGTGATCGGAAGGTATTTCGACGCGAATTCTGACGTGGATTTCGACGGGATACGAGCCATCGGGGTTGATGCGATAGTTGATTTGTACTGGATGCTGCCGGCGGGCATTCATCAGGTCTACTCAATGAGTCTTGTAGGAGTCGGTGTTGGAGTCCTCTCCATGAGCGGAGATTATACTGTTTTGCCGCAGCAACGGATCAGGAGGTTTCAAGAGGTTTGTATTTTTTTCTCCCTCTCCCTTTTGTTTGCTTCTTGAGTTTAAGTCTTTAGATGTGTTTTATTGAATTGCTAGTTGATTATGCTGAATTTCGGGCATCCTTATGCACGAATTCGCATCTTAAGTTTCCGTTCGTACATCCCGCCACCGCCGGGTCCGACGGCACCGGCGGCGGCAATGGAGGCGGCGGCAGCTGAATTGTTGGCGATGGAGGCGGTGGCGCATCCAGTGCCGCTGCCGCCTCCATCGCCAACAATTCTGCTGCCGCCGCCTCCAGTGCTGCCGCCTCCAGTGTTGCCGCCTCCATCGCTGCCGCCGGTGCCGGCGGTGGCGGGATGTATGAACGGAAACTTAAGATGCGAATTCGTGCATAAGGATGCCCGAAATTCAGCATAATCAACTAGCATTTCAATAAAACACATCTAAGGACTTAAACTCAAGCAGCTAACCAAAAGGAGAGGGAGAAAAAAACACAAACCTCTTGAAACCTCCTAATATGTTACTGCAGCAAAACAGTATAATCTCCACTCATGGAGAGGACGAAAAGTCCAACACCGACACCGACTCCTACAAGACTCATCGAGTAGACCTGATGAATGCCCGCCGGCAGCATCCGGTACAAATCAACTATCGCATCAACCCCGATGGCTCATATCCTGTCGAAATCCACGTCAGAATTCGCGTCGAAATACCTTCCGATCACTTGACGATGATGATCCATGACACCGTGAAATGATTGTATGATGTATATAGCATAATCTAGTGGTAGTAATTATTTTTTCAACTGATGGTGATGATTGAATTGTGTATTATTGTTTTAGGAATAGTCTCCCATCACATTTTGTATAAAGCAGTTTTACATGTCAGGAGCATCATGTTAGCATGTTTTATATATCTTCCATGAGACTGGGGAATGTACCAGCTCACTAGATCAGGCATAACAATGCTGATTGTTGCTTCCTAGCTCTGAAGCCTTATATGTGGGGACAAGGGGACACAAATGGAGAACATTTGCTATGTTATCTGTCAAGAATTTTGTCCGACCAAAGCAGCATAAGCAGAATCCTTTTCTCCGTTGTACCAATGAGAATCTGCGCAAGTTGAATAGACAGTTGAAATTGTGATTACATTATGATAGATCGAGACCATGTGATTATTAAGGAAATGAAAAAGACAAATAACCTTTATCCTGTGACGCTACTTTCTTTTCAGATGGAGAAAAATGTCATTGATTTCTCATAAAAGTAAATACAAGATGCAATAAATGAATATGTTGTCTAACAAAACAAACAAAAGAGTTTCCATATGTATGTCCCTCTATCCTATTTGTGGAATAATCAGTTCTGGGGTTTGTCATTCTTATATTGCAGGGTGTTCTTATTGTGGCTGAGAGGGAAACTGGAAAGACATCTCTAGCATTGGCTATAGCAGCAGAAGCTAGGGTGCCCGTTGTTAAAGTTGAAGCCCAGCAGTTGGAGGCTGGACTATGGGTCGGACAAAGTGCATCAAATGTTAGGGAGTTATTTCAGACAGCCAGGGATTTGGTTGGCCTCTCTAGCCCTTCCTTTTATTTTTTTATTGTTTCATGTTGATTTATTTGCATTTCATTGTAGACTGATTTTTTCCTAATAAAATTTTACCCTTATTGTGTTAATCTTGATGTCCAGAACATTTCAGTTGAAAACAGTCTTGAATCTGTATCCATCCATGTTAGGCCTTGCGTTTTTTCTTGGGCTTCTACACATTTGAAATACTGCCGAATACCTCATCATTTCCTGGTTTGGTAGTTGATAAAAGGATGTCTCCGCACAAATGCATTTTCCTCCCAACTCGCAGTCTAAAAAGTTCTGAATCTTTTTTTCTTTTGAATAATCTGGCCTCCCATGAGGTCAGATGGTCTGTCTTTTTATTAGTGATTAGCTTAAATTGATGATAGTTACATTAGATATAGTGAGCCTTATATTTCGATAATGACTGACTAGAAATTTCATAGAAGAAATTTGGGGCTGGGTATTCCCTCTTTCTTGCCGGTTCCCTTCTGCAAAACATTCTCTTTTGCAGTTGAACACTAATTTTTGTGTTCTTTGATGTAGGCACCTGTAATCATATTTGCCGAGGATTTTGACCTTTTTGCTGGTGTCCGTGGCAAGTTGATTCACACTAAAAAGCAAGATCAGGAGGCTTTCATCAATCAGCTTCTTATTGAACTTGATGGGTAACTTCAACCATACTTTCTTTGTGAAATTTGTCTTTTCTTTTTTCTGTTTTCTTTTATCAACTCTAGATTTGCCACTAACCTCTCAACTGGTCTTTTTTCAAGATATTCTGCTCCTATTTTGCGTTCTTGGTCTTGGCTTCTACTAAGTCTTTGTGCTTGCTAATATTTGTTATATCATCTCCAGTATAAGGTTTCTCTGCATTGCAACTTGATTGCGTCAATTTATTTCCAAGACCAGGAATTACTGAAACAGTATTATAGGCGAAACAGATATGAAGACGTGCATATATGAGTTTTTTTGTTTTCTTCCTGCTGCCCTATCTAAATGTCATTTTATTATACGATTAACTTTGAGGACAAAGGTTATTTCTGTGATTTCCCTGTTGTCTGGTGGAAGCTTCTGCATTTCTTCCATTCTGATCAGCATAATTATCTATGCAGATTTGAGAAACAAGATGGTGTTGTCTTGGTGGCCACAACTAGAAGCCTCAAACAAATTGATGAGGCATTGCAGCGACCTGGTCGGATTGATAGAGTCTTCCATCTGCAGAGGCCAACTCAAGCAGAAAGAGAGAAGATACTACAAATTGCTGCTAAAGAAACCATGGACGATGAGATCATTGATTTTGTGGACTGGAGAAAGGTGATTCACCATCAAATAGACGTGCCCTATACTTTCCTTTTCAGTAAAAGATGTACTTTCAGCTGTTGACAAAAGCTGCTCATTTCCAGTAAAAATAAGCAGGTCTAGGACCTTCCAATTATGAGGTTTCTATGGCATTTGATAATAATGGAACTCTGAATGTCCTCTTAGCCTGCAGCTTTGGGATAGTTTGTAGATGGGATATTCAGGTGCTAGCAATTACTGCCGACAGCTTGCCCTCCTGTTTGTTGGTGGATTAGCCCATTAAGACTGAAACCATTAAATCACTAGACACTTTGAGAAGTTAGGAAACTTTTATCTGTTTTTTTTTTCTTTTCTTTAGTGACCTCAATAAGCAATTTATTTATCTTCACAGGTGGCTGAGAAGACTGCTCTTTTACAACCTATAGAACTGAAACTTGTTCCTGTGGGATTGGAAGGAAGTGCATTTCATAGCAAATTTGTTGATGCAGATGAGCTTATGAGCTACTGCAGTTGGTTTGCGGTAAGGTTATGATTAAAACTGCACTGGGCTTTGGGGTCAGGATATTGCTTGAGTGTTCTTACTGGTGCTTTCCTGCTTGATATTCTCAATATATCAAGTTTGTTAAATGGCATCAACTGTCCTCAATCAGATTGCTAGTCTATCATTGTAAATAATTTTCTTCTGAATCAATATTTGGTGAATTGGAGGGATTGTCCCAAATTAGAATATATTGGGATGATTCATTGCTATCGGGTCTAGTTGCTCTAGTATGCAAGTTTGTACGATATAGAATTCCCTGAAATAATGCACAATGGGCAAATAAGTGTTAAATCAAATGAGAGTGAGAACATTGATTGGTGGTACATATAAATTCAATGGAAAGAGCTGGCTGAGGAAGGATGCAGTAGCCGATAAGCTTACGTGCCAGCTGGTTTAGACATGTTGGGATAATTCATGAAAATGAGCCAGTTTTAATAAAGTGATTGAACTCTTAATTAGATGTTTTCCAATTCAATCGTGGGATATATTGTTATTTGATGTTAGTCATAATTTTGCCGAAAGAGACTGTTGAACAGGAGCCTGATTGTATATTATAATAGGAATTATGGGATCTTTTCACTCTAAAATTTATACTGCTTGTTGACTATGATTGATTTTTTAATGTCTTCGAAAGCATGGCCCGTAACTTCTCGGTTCGTGAGTCATGCTGCTGCTTTTTCTCCTCTTAGAAGTTTCTGTTCACATTACTTCCCTGACTATAATGTGAATTCTCCCATTTATATTTTTATGTGATATATCTTTTACTATGTGCATATTATTCATTCATTATTTTTCATAGACCTTCAAGCATATGGTTCCTAAGTGGATTCGGCAAACAAAAGTTGCGAGGCAGATTAGCCGAATGCTGGTGAATCATCTGGGGCTGACACTGACTGAGGAGGACATGCAGAATGTTGTTGATCTAATGGAACCATATGGTCAAATAACCAATGGAGTTGAACTTCTTAATCCTCCACTTGATGTATGTGTCCTTTCCAATCTATTTTGAGCTAGTGGAATGTGGAGTTATGCTCAATTAATTCACTTGGATGCTTACTATTAGTTCGCTGGACTATGTTGGGCTATTGTCTTCTGAACAATTTTAAAATTGACAAGATTCGGATCTATAAATTTGTATTGTTTCCTTTTTTACGTGTTCTAAAGAATCAGGAGTACCACAAAATAAGTGGTAAAAAATGGAACGTGGTGGGGTTAGCACGACTCATCTTTCTAAAAATTTGGCTAGCTTGATATACCCAAACTAGCGAACAAATGATTATTTCTTTATGTGTACAAGTTTCTTTGGATTCTTTGAGGCAACTTATATAATTTGGATGATTTGACAGTGGACAGAGGGAAACAAGTTCCCCCATGCTGTTTGGGCAGCTGGTCCTGGCCTTATAGCTCTTTTACTACCTAACTTTGATGTGGTTGACAATTTTTGGCTTGAACCATCTTCGTGGCAGGTTACTGTTCTCTCCTTCATTCTTGTAATGAAATAGCATGCACCTTACTAAGCTTATGAGCAAGTACCTGCAAGAGCCATATTCCTAGTTTAGGGATTTTCGTTGTACTGCTGAACAGTGAATGTTATCCTTCATGGATGCAGCTCGCCATTTTAATCTTGTTTATGTTATTCTTTTTGGCTCTTTTCAAGCTATGTGCACTGGCATGTTGTTTGTTATCGAACTTTTCATTCAGTAGTATTGTCATCCAGTCATGCTATCGACCTGTAAATTACCTTCTCTATCTGGGCACTCGTGAATTAGTCTCATGCTTCTGTTGGTCATGATCCTTGCTGTTGTATCTAAGGGCCTCCATCGGGAGTTTTATATGAAACCGGATATCAAACAGTCAAACACACTGACATGAGATGTCAATTTATAGCTTTATCTATTATTGGAGTATTCTGGCAGACATATTATCATTGTGCTACATAACAGTGTATCCATGTGTCCTGGGTTGTTCTTGTTCTCCTCTTTGCTGGGGCAGTTATTTGCAGCGGCATGTCTTATGGTATTTTAGTGCCTTAGTCTTATAAAGATGTTTGCTTTGGCCCCTTTCTTGCAGGGAATTGGCTGTACCAAGATCACCAAGGCACGGAGTGAAGGATCTGTTAATGCTAACTCAGAGTCAAGATCATACCTTGAAAAGAAGCTTGTATTTTGCTTTGGTTCGTATGTCACTTCACAGCTTCTACTTCCTTTTGGGGAAGAGAATTTTCTCTCTTCTTCTGAACTGAAGCGAGCTCAAGAGGTTGGTCCTGCAACATTATGCTTTGAGAAATTTGTTGATATTCTCACAGTGAAAGCTGAATACATGTAGATGTATATATTAATATACACCCCCTGTGACAGATAGCGACAAGGATGGTCATTCAGTACGGTTGGGGGCCTGATGACAGTCCTGCAATTTACTATCACAGTAATGCGGCACTTCTCTGTTCCATTTTGCACGCACTTTATGATCGTAAAATAAACCATTGATGATCAAACTCAACAATACTGTTATGTATTCAAGCTTCAAGTTCCGGCTGGGAATCTTTGATGCGCTTTAGCTTAATTCTGGTTGTATGTTTCTATTTCACTAGGTTACAGCTTTGAGCATGGGGAACAACCATGAATATGAGATTGCAGCTAAAGTTGAAAAGGCATGTGTCTGTTGCTATGAGGCTATTTGGCTTACTATATCCGATAGTCCGAATTGAAAGAGCAGCAAATCTCTGGTTGATTGCGAGATTCTTTGACGTTCCTTCTTTGATGGATCCTTGTTTTGCAGATGTATGATTTGGCTTATTACAAAGCAAAGGAAATGTTACAGAAAAATCGTCGAGTTCTCGAAAAGATTGTCGACGAGTTGCTGGAGTTTGAAATCTTGACTGGAAAGGTAGATTTGGAGGTGTCCAGCTTACTTTAATAGCTTTAATATTATATGGAGTGAATGATAGAATGTCACTTATATTGTTACAAGTCTATTCTTAAGAGCTTATCATACCACTGTATCTTATTTAGCTTCTTCCTTATAGTACTTGAGGAAAAGTTTATGTCCTCTCTTATCATCATAATACCTTTCTGAGTCAATTCTTCTCTGGATTTTTGAGTAACCTTTTTCCATTTGTCCTTGGAGTCCCTTGTTTCTTGCAGCCCTTTCCACAGATGGTTGCTCATCTCCTTCGTCTCTTTCCCATCATCTTCATTTATGTCAATGTCAACCTGTTGAGCTTAAGTTCTATCCTGGCTTGAATGGTATATGTAATGCGGATTAGACTCTGTTCTTTCACATATGAGCTATTGTTGTCAAGCTCTATCTGGTTTTCTTTCAGTATGTGAATGTTATTCATGAAAACTAATTTACAATGCATGGAGCCATATACTTTTTGTCTTGTTTTCTTGATTTGGTTTCTGCTTATGTGGGGATCATGTAAGTCCATACACCTTCAAATGCTGCCTTGCCTCACTCTATCAACGTAATCCTTTTTTTTAATCAATTTTTTAGTGAATCCTCTGAAACTAGAGATGACATATTGATTGACCGGCAGGACTTGGAAAGGATGCTTGAAGAAAATGGTGGAATGCGGGAGAAAGGGCCATTTTCCCTCGTTCAACTTTTTAATGGACAGGTAACTCCAAGTTTTTACCCTGCCTGTCTGGTAACATAAGTCAATAGAATGCAATCAAGTTTTTTATCTTACTTAGTGAATTGATGTATGAGGGACCAAATAATATGATCCTCGATTCTTGTCCCCTAATCCACTAAAGGCAGTTTATTCGAGCTTTTTGAGCAAGTCCAGTTGTGGATATAACAACACGACTTGCTCAATAAATCTTTTGATACTTGGACTTACTGCATTATTTGCTGCTATAAAGCATACAGATTTTACTTGGTTTTGGATACCAAAGCTCTCTTAAGACTAATTGACTCTTGAAAAGCAGATAAAAGAATGATTGAGCGAGTCTAGTGAAGACTGCAGAATTTGTCCAGGAAATATCTATAGAGCCTATCCTTACTGGACCTGAGGAATTATTTGTCCTCGTCTTTGAATGCTTTTGACGGGGATTTATCTTTGACCCCTTCAAGTGCTCGTGTTGTTTTTTCTCAAGCCCCCATCATACTGGCCCAATAAGCAACCGATCGTTCAGGCCGAGTAAACTGGACCTTTGGAGTGAATAATGGATAACTTAGTTTGGCATTTGCAAAACTTCTTGTATAAGCTACATGCATTACGCTAAAGATTTTATGAGTGGAAAAAATTAGTCTCCCTCCTCCAGACTAAGATTTCATGAAAAAATAGAACATAAAAGACAATTAACCTATTGATACACGTGGCTCTTGTTTGTGAAGTACTCCAGCCTTTCTTAATTTATATATGGTTTTGTTCTGTCCGTCTTCTTAGCAGCAATTTGCCATTTCTGGTGCCCATATCAAATAGTGGTTAAACCAAAATGAGATTCACATGCCTTTTGTTGCAAATAGGTAAAGTAAACCTTTCTCTTCATACAAGATGATCTTGAAGCCATAAAACCTTCCTCATCATTTTTTCCCTCTAATAATACTCAACTCTAGAAACGTGGCCATGTCAAGAGATAGGTGCATGATTCACATGAATTTGTGGCCTCGAGATAGTATCTCAGCCTGCTTCTAATCCGCTGAATACATGTTCATTGGAGAATCCTTTGCTTTCCCAGGACTGAAAGAACCATTTTCTTCTGTATCTCAATATCTTACACGTTTCCACTAATGTTTCTTTGCCAATATTCATTAGAGAATGCTTTACCAGTGCTTTTTTTTTGGACGAAGTGTGCTTTCTCAGTTTTTGAACGTGTCTTGTGTGGACTTTTTCAAGTTAAAACTTGAATCACGCTGCGGCTATCTGTTCGCCATACAAATATAAAATCCCAGGGCAATGGAAGCTCCAAAAAATGCTCCTAGATTTTTTTCTTGGAAAAAACAAAGGGGAGATATTTCCCTGAAAAGACAAATTTTGTTTTCATTTTTGCATTTTTCATTTTTCCGGTGTTGTTCACGCACTTGAAGAAGAAGAGTCAATACCGGCGTCAAGAAGCGGAACCAAAACTGCAACTCCCGAAAATTCAAAAACTCTCCCAATTTTCTCGAGAAAATCTCCTCCCCAGCGCCCCCGATTTTCTCGAGAAAATCCCACCGCCGCCACTCCCAAATGAGTCGCCGCGGCTGTTCCCTGCTCCTCCTCCTTGCGGCTGCGATCCTGCTGCTCTTGGTCCGTCCGGCGGCCCAGATCGGATCCCAGCCTTCACCGCGGGGCGGCGAGGCATACGTCATGCTCCTGTACGGCGACGAGTTCTTGTTGGGAGTCCCGCGTGCTGGGGAAGTCGATCCGCGACACCCGGGCCACCGCGACAGCGTCTCCTATTACGCCAAGAAGCTCCTCAAGGTTCTCTCTTTGTACAACACACATGTAGTCCACGGAAGGAAAAAAAAGTATTGTCTTTGCGTTTGCTTTTGAAGTAGTCAGCTGCGCATCCGGTTCCACAGCATGTTGAAGAGGATCATGCTCTAGGATTTGTTGGTTTCTCAGAAAATTGAGGTGGCTTAAGGAGCCAAGAAACTCTGATTTTGTGCTTAGTGCTATGTTCTGCTGAGTGTTTGCTGATTTAAGTGCATAATTTGCTAAGTTGGAATGGCTTTTTAAAAGATGATGACTTTGAGGTGGGCTTGTCACCTTGGATCCTGGAAGGAGAAGTATTGATCGATCAGTGTCATTAGAATTGAAAACATTCTACTCAAACTGGGTAATTTGGTTCCTGAGAAAATTAAGGCAATGTAAGATTCTGGGTAACTCCAGCTTTGCAGTTGGTGCTGTTACGTTCTGTCGCTATTTGTGGTAGGAAATTAATTGGGTTCGTTTCTGTCCCCCCTGTTTTTCCTTGTCGTGTCATCGAGTTTAACCAAGGAAGTAGTTTAGATCGAGTTAAATGTTTTGTGGTCTTTGAGTTTGAAATGTTTGGGATGCTTGTGCAGGCTGATGGCTGGATAGTGGAAAAGATCAGTCTACTGGCCAGCCCCAATCAAAAGTGTCCGGCTAGGTTTTGGGGTGTCTACACCAAACTGAAAATATTCAACATGACTAGCTATAAAAAAGGTAACTGTGGCTATTATGCATGTTTCTATTCGGGATTGTTGGGGCAACAATGTCCACTTAAAATGGACGAACAAAGTGAACTTGTTCATTTTTAGATGGCTGAGTTTTTGGATTATCATGCGTCGATGATGTTTGTACAGATTTTTCTTATATTCTCATATGGAGGAAAACGTTCCCTTCTTTGTGCAGTTGTATACTTGGACGCAGATACTATTGTGGTTAAAAGTATTGAGTATCTGTTTAAATGCGTGAAATTCTGTGCTAACTTGAAGCATTCAGAGAGGCTTAATTCTGGAGTCATGGTAGTGGAACCTTCTGAGACTGTTTTTAGTGACATGATGGGCAAAGTGCAAACCCTGTATTCTTACACTGGAGGTAATTGTCTTTTCTGAATGTTAGTGGCTGGTGATGTAATGTCAATTTATTTTGTTTAGTTAGTTTGAGTATGTTAGCTCTGATGATTTATGATGATTGGATTTTGACTTGATTATGGACCAAGGATGAGTTTGTACCAATGTATCTAAACAGTTATCCTTACTTATGAAATACTGGATGAAGTAGACTTTGTTGAGATGGGAAGGACATGGAGTTTTTGTCGCAATTTAATTTTCTTGAGTAAGGACATGCATGTGATGGAGTCTAATAGGGTCAAGATGCAAACCCCAGATTTTCTTGCTGGCAAGAAAGATTTTGGCTTCTAGTGTTCACAAGTGGCACAAAATTACTCGGGTCTCAATTGGATCACCAGTCTTCTTACTTCGAACTATTAGATTTGTTGTGGTTGTCTTTAAACAGTCTCAATTTCTTTGTCCTTGTATAACCTCACACTAAAGAAAGCTATGTACATCTTCTTATCATATACACTCTGTTCCTCTTCTCCCTGTCTCTGACATTTTTCATTCCACAGGTGGTCAGGGTTTTCTAAATTCGTACTATAGCGACTTTGCCAATGCACATCTGTTTGAGCCAAATTTATCCCCAGAGGTGTTGAAATCTCGACCAGTTCCTGAAATGGAGCGACTTTCTACTCTATACAATGCAGATGTTGGTCTTTACATGCTTGCAAACAAGGTATGGCTACCTATATGTGAAAACAAGTCACTAAGCTGGCTCATTGAGACATTATTTTATCGGCATGGTAAGTGTAGATAAGAAAGCAGGGCTGTATTTGCTTCTTCTTGGATTTCTTTCCATCCTTTTTTATTTCCCTTTTAGAGTTGGTGTTCTGGGGGTAGGTGCGTCTTTCTTAACATTTTAATGAGCCCTCACTGTCTGAAAAACATTGCAATATTTTTTGTTTTCTGTAGGTCTTGTCTGAGGTTTATTTTGTTCTTGTAGTAGCGCCTAATAAAACCTTTGATCGCTACACCCTTATGATGCCCGAAAGATGAATGCTCTAAAGAAAAAAGAAACTTTGATATACGATCTGGTTACATTTTGTGGATGCACAATATAGCACTTACACAACCTAGGCACAAATGCAGTTCTATTGCTGAATGTGTTTTGATACTGACGTCCATGATGTTGCTGAACAGTGGATGGTCGATGAAAGTGAACTCCGGGTTATTCACTATACACTTGGACCCCTTAAACCTTGGGACTGGTGGACATCCTGGCTTCTGAAACCTGTAGATGTGTGGCAGGTATCATATCCAACTTCTTCTCTGGTGGTTTTTGCGCTGTTTAGATGAAAGGGGGACAGACACCATGCACGGTTGTGCAATTGCATGAATTCTGTTATTGTCTTATTCAGTGATCTGTATGTTTGGTGATAGAAACTCGTTTAACTTCGCATATGACAGAATGTGAGGGAACAACTTGCTGATTATCTTCCTGGAGCTGGAGGGGAAAGAAATCCTAATGATGAGTTTCTAGTGAAGTTCCTTTTTCTGCTACCTCTTTGCCTTCTGTTCTTTGGGTACTACCGATCTCTTCCCCAGGTTGGAAGTCCATGGAAATCCTTTGGTTATTCTTCTTTGACATTCTGTTTCGTTAGGAATAGTCATTTTGATTATTTGACGTTTGATTTGGTGTAGGTATTGCAGCAATGTCATTCTTGCAGAAGTTCATTGGGTGATAACATTAGACAGCTTTTACATAGAATCAGATTTAATGGAGCATACGCATATTCTGGTGTTTCTACGGCATCTGGCATTACTTTTAACCAGCAGGTTACTTCCTTTTCCATGTTTATTTTACTAATATTTCATTGACAACACCTTAAAATGTTAGATTTCACAGTAATTTGCTCATGCTTCTGTTAAAGCATCAGTGGTGATCTTTCTAACTATAAGTTCGTTGATTTGCTATCTAACAGTTCTCACATGGTGCACCGTCAATGATCCCTGTGTATTTGGGTGGGATATCCGTAATAGTATGTTTCGCTGCAGCTGCTGTGTCTCTCTTGCTGGCTCTCGCAGTTGTGCCTCGACAAGTAATACCGTGGACTGGTTTGCTATTGATGTATGAGTGGACATTTGCAGTCTTCTTTGTATTGTTCAGGGGTTATCTCCATTTGGTATATAAACTTGGAAGGGCAGCAGCAGTTCAAAAGGTTGCACATGCTGACCATGAATCTGAGAAAGGCTGGTTGACTTGGAGCATTGGCATTTGATGTGCATAATTTGTGTTTTTTATATTAACGAGGAGTCGTTTATACTGTGCAGGTTGTCAACGACAAACATCTTCTTGTGATATTGCTACCTGCTGTTACTGGTCGGGCATGGCATTTTTGGCAATGGTGGCCCCAGCCTTGCCATGCATTTTTGGGATTACTGCTCTTTTCGCGAGGTAATTCTTTTGGTTTGATTCTCAAAATGCTCCAATTCTCTTTACTAATTTAAATTACACCAAGTTTCATACTGATCTGTTGCTTCCTATATCATTTGGGATCAGAAATTTGATTGTTTATGATGTTTCTTTTATGTTCTTTGCTATTTCCTTGCTATGACGCTTGAGTGAGGATTGCAAGAACAACAAATTCGTGCATGCTTTGCGTCCTTCAACGGGTTGGGTTTGATGGTTGGTGGAGGCCTTATATTGGCATCTTTCATGACCTATTCTGCGGAGCACCTTGCTATCATATCGTTCATTAGAGGCTTTGAAGCACGAGATTTGAGCCGGTAGCAGAAGCATACGTTTGTAATGTTGACAGGCGGCACCATCTCCACGCATAATTCTTTTTTCCTTCTCTGTTGTAACTTATCACATAGGCTACCCAATGATTGATGTGTAAATTATTGAGGAATCTTGGCCAGCTTAGAAGTTCTCCTTTTTCAAATGAGTGTCTAAACTGTAATATGCCTTCATGGAATGGGAATCCGATTTTCGCTTCTGATTTCAAACTTTTCGCCAACGAAAGTATGCGTTTCTGTTCAGGCGCTCGACTGTTCAGCTGAGATAATTCCTACTTTATGGCTATTCTATGCACTAATCTCATGTAGATAGCAAAATTTGGAAGAACTCTGCAAATTCCCATGGTGGTCACTTGTGTGACAGATTGAAGGGAAAAGGAAGGGAATTGGCATACAATTTGGTTTTTTCTTAAGCTGTAAAACAGGGCATACACAAGATTGCCCTCATGGCTTCATTTAGTTCTTTAAGTATAAATATATTAAGTTTATACACCATAGTGGACATGAAAATAAACTTCTGCTACTCTTGAAAGTCAACTTAACCTAATCCAGAAAAGGTGGAGGAGCACTTTAAAGTTTAAAGTAAGGTGGGCAGCCCACATTAACCTTATTATCTAAGAGCTCATTATTGAGTTGTCCAATGCGCTTTTGCGCAAGCCGCCATGTCCACATCAATCCTCATGTGAAAAGGAGAGATCAAGCTGATTTCAAGAATAAGATATTCTTAAGATATTCATTGTTGTGTATGATGGTTTGTGTTCACTTGAGCTTAAGATGCCAGAAGTCAAACTCAAATTCTCCTTCGACCAAAACAAAACAAAGAAGAAAAAAACCTCAAATTCTCCGAGTAAAGTTTGAGTTTTGGATGGCCCGGTTAATAAATACGAAATTTTTTTTTCAAAGCTTGCAATCGTTTCATCGAGTCATATCTACATTAATCATACGAAACCCGACCCCCAAGTCGAGGTCGCGAGGTTGGCCGGCATTCAAGCAAATCAAATCCAGCTATCCAGGATTTAAAAACAGCAAAGCAGAGCGCAATCCAAGTGAATCCGAAGAGAGGATAAATGTAAGGCCGTGAAAAGTGGTCCTGGCCTACAATTTTAGGAACGACCTAATAATGATTTAAGTAAAACAGACTTAACAATGATCTAAGTAAAACATCGAGCCTAACCTATGCCAATGCCTAGCAGAAATAGTCATGGCGCCAGTGGATCCAACCCGGCTGGTGCCTCCTTCTCGTCCGCCTCCGCCTCCGCCTCCACCTCCATCACTGCTGCTGCAGCTGCCTCCATCGCCGCTGCCGGTGCGGCCGCCGGCAGTGGGGACCGAACGAACGGAAATTTAAGATGCGAACCCGTGCATGACGTTGTGTGAAATTCAGTAAAAACATATACCATTTCAATAAAACATTTCTAAGGGACTGAAACTCAAGCAGCCAACAAAAGAGAAAGGGAAAAAAAAAACATACCTCATGGAAACTCCTAATCTCTTGCTGCGGCAAAATAATATAGTCTCCACTGCAGGAGAAGACAAAAAGTCCAACATCGATTCCTATCATACCCATCGAATAGACCTGATGAACCTCGGCGGGTTACGTCCCATACAAATTAACTATAGCATAAACGCCGACGGCTCCCATCCGGTCGAAATCGACGTCGGAATTCGCATCGAAATACCTTCCGATTACTTGACGATTATGATCCATGACACTGTGAAATTCGCCGCCAAAATACCCTGCCATCTGACCCAAATCCATGGTTAGAACGAGAGGAGCGGGATTTGCGAGAGCGGGAGCGGGAGCTAGAGCAGGAGGTGTGGTTTTGGGAGGGGACGTTTAGGGTTTAAGATGGCGCCCGCGTGTCTAGTCACAGATTTAGCGCAACCCCCCAAGAGTTCAATTTTAATATATGGAAAAAATAACAGGTTCTAGGATATCACGAGCACTAGAAAATTTTCTCATATTACGGTTAGGTCAAAGAGTATCCTATCGAGTTGAATGCATATCTTGAATCCAATTAGATACAAATCACCCAATAAGCAACCGATTGTTCAGGCCGAGTAAACTGGACCTTTGGAGTGAATCATAGACAACTTAGTTTGGCATTTGCAAAACTTCTTGTATAAGCTACATGCATTACGCTAAAGATTTTATGAGTGGAAAAAATTAGTCTCCCTCATCCGGACTAAGATTTCATGAAAAAATAGAACATAAAAGACAATTAACCTACTAATACACGCGGCTCCTGTCTGTGAAGTACTCCAGCCTTTCCTAATTTATATATGGCTCTGTTCTGTCCGTCTTCTTAGCAGTAATATGCCATTTCTTGTGCCCATATCAAATAGTGGTTAAACCAAAATGAGATTCCCCAAGCCTTTTGTTGCAAATAGGCAAAGTAAACCTTTCTCTTCATACAAGATAATCTTGAAGCCTTTTAGCAAAAAAAAAAGATGATCTTGAAGCCATAAAACCTTCCTCATCATTTTTACCCTCTAATAATACTCAACTCTAGAAATGTGGCCATGTCAAGAGACAGGTGTATGATTCACATGAATTTGTGGCCTCGAGATAGCATCTCAGCATGCTTCTAATCCGCCGAATACATGTTCAGTGGAGAATGCTTTGCTCTCCCAGGACTGAAAGAACCATTTTCTTCCTGTATCTCAATATCTTACACGTTTGCACTAATGTTTGTTTGCTAATATTCATTGGAGAATACTTTACCCGTGTTTTTTTTTTGGACGAAGTATGCTTTCCCACTGCCGCCACTCCCAAATGAGTCGCCGCGGCGATGCCCCGCTCCTCCTCCTCGCGGCCGCGATCCTGCTGCTCTCGGTCCGTCCGGCGGCCCCGATCGGATCCCAGCCTTCACCGTGGGGCGGCGAGGCATACGCCACGTTCCGTATGGCGACGAGTACTTGCTGGGAGTCCGCATGCTGGGGAAGTCGATCCGCGACACTGGGGCCACTAAGGACATGGTGGTTCTGGTCTCCAACGGCGTCTCCTATTACGCCAAGAAGCTCCTCCAGGGTCTCTCTTTGTACCACACACGTGTAGTCTGCGTAACGGAAAAAACAGTATTGTCTTTGCGTTTGCTTTTGAAGTAGTCAGCTGCGCATCCGGTTCCACAGCATGTTGAAGCGGATCATGGTCTAGGATTTGTTGGTTTCTCAGAAAATTGAGGTGGCTTAAGGAGCTAAGAAACTCTGATTTTGTGCTTAGTGCTACGTTCTGCTGAGTGTTTTCTGATTTAAGTGCATAATTTGCTAAGTTGGAATGGCTTTTTAAAAGATGACGTCTTCGAGGTCGGCTTGTCACCTAGGATCCTGGAAACAGAAGTATTGATCGATCAGTGTCATTAGAATTGAAAAAATTCTACTCGAACTGGGTAATTTGTTTCCTGAGAAAATTAAGGCAATGTAAGATTCTGGGTAACTCCAGCTTTGCGGTTGCTGCTGTCTCGTTCTGTCGCTATTTGTGGTAGGAAATTAATTGGGTCCGTTGCTGTCCCCTGTTTTCCCTTGGCGTGTCATCGAGTTTAACCAAGGAAGTAGTTTAGACCGAGTTAAATGTTTTGTGGTCTTTGAGTTTGAAATGTTTGGGATGCTTGTGCAGGCTGATGGCTGGATAGTGGAAAAGATCAGTCTACTGGCTAACCCCGATCAAAAGCGTCCGGCTAGGTTTTGGGGTGTCTACACCAAACTGAAAATATTCAACATGACTAGCTATAAAAAAGGTAACTGTGGCTATTATGCATTTTTCTATTTTTCGGGATTGTTGGGGCAACAATGCCAACTTAAAATGGACGAGCAAAGTGAACTTGTTCATTTTCAGATGGCTGAGTTTTTGGATTGTCATGCATAGATGATGTGCGTACAGATATTTTTCTTATATTCTCATATGGAGGAAAACATTCCCTTCTTTGTGCAGTTGTATACTTGGACGCAGATACTATTGTGGTTAAAAGTATGGAGGATCTGTTTAAATGCGTGAAATTCTGTGCTAACTTGAAGCATTCAGAGAGGCTTAATTCTGGAGTCATGGTAGTGGAACCTTCTGAGACTGGTTTTAGTGACATGATGGGCAAAGTGCAAACCCTGTATTCTTACACCGGAGGTAATTGTCTTTTCTGAATGTTAACGGCTGGTGATGTAATGTCAATTTATTTTGTTTAGTTAGTTCCGAGTATGTTAGCTCGGATGATTTATGATGATTGGATTTTGACTTGATTATGGACCAGGGATGAGTTTGTACCAACGTATCTAAACAGTTATCCTTACTTATGAAATACTGGATGAAGTAGACTTTATTGAGATGAGAAGGAAATTGAGTTTTTGTCACAATTTAATTTTCTTGAGTAAGGACATGCATGTGATGGGGTCTAATAGGGTCAAGATGCAAACCCCAGATTTTCTTGCTGGCAAGAAAGATTTTGGCTTCTAGTGTTCACAAGTGGCACAAAATTATTCAGTCTCAATT